CGTTCGAGCGCGCAGAGATCGAGCGGTGGTTCGGCGAGGGGAAGCGCGTGTGCCCGGTCACCAGGCAGCACCTCGAAAGTTTCACCGTCGTGCCCAACAACTCCCTCCGTAGCGTCATCTCCGCGTGGTGCCTCGGCAACGGCATCAGGCTCGGCATCGACGAACGTACCAACCCTACCACAGACCACCCCGCCGAACCGGACCGCCGAGCCGCTCTCCGCGTCGACCCGTCCACCTCGTCTCCTTCGAGATCCTTATCGAGCAATGCCAGCCGCGACGCGCGCCGACAGTCCAGCGGCTCGTACGAGCAGAGCCCGTCCGCGTCGCCTCGTTGCCCTATTTGGCCCGTGTCGGCCTCGGTGTCGTCTCAGTCCCCCTCCGCATCTCCCGCTTACACGCCTGCCAAGAGCACCGGCAGTCCGGGTCTGCGGCGCGACTGGAATAAGTACCCGGGGAGGGACGAGTGGAGCGGCCCGCAGCCGCGCCGCGACGAGTGGTCGGGGCCGCAGTCGGTCGAGTTTGCGATGCAAGCCGGCATGGCGTCGCAGGCGGCCGTCGCGTCGCAGGCGGAAGTTTCGCACGGTCACGGCGCCGGCGAAGCGGCGGCGCAGGAGAGAGACAGTGGCGGCGGCGGCGGCGGCGGACGGCCAAATCGCATGCGACACTCCCTAGGCTCGCAGTCTATGCGCTACGATTACCCCGAGCACGCGGCGCGGTCGCCGCAGTCGCATTCTCTAATCTCCTGGGATCACGACGGGGATCAATCGGACCGACATCATCAACCTGGAATGAATCCCGCTCTAGCGTACATGACGCCAAACCACCCCGTCGCGTCCGTCTACGTCACTAACGCGTCCGGCAGCCCGTCGGTTAGCCGGTTCTCCTCGCGAGACATGTGCCTCACGTTCGCGCGCTCATCCACCTGCGACTCGAGCTCCAACAGCCGGTCGTTACTCTTAGGCCGGCAGCACGGCACCGCGCCTCCGGAGCGCGAGGGCGCCCCGAGCGAGGGCGACGCCGGCGAACGCATGCTGACTCGCGGCGGAAACCTCGCGGCCGGGCGGAGCCAGAGCCAGAAGGAGCGCGCGCCCGGCGGAAGCAGAGCGGGGATGGTGCGGACGGAAGAGGAGGAGCACGCGCGGCTGCGCATCCCGGAGCTCGTGCGCCAAATGCAGGGCGTGGACGCGGGGCGGGGATCGGGGGACGGCGAGACGCTGCTGGTGCGCGAGCGGCAGCGCGAGGCGGCGGAGGAGCTGCGCATGATGGTGAAGGATTCGCGCGCGAACCGGGAGAGCGTCGTCGCGGCGGGCGGCGGCGTGCTCTCCGCGCTGATTAATCTCTTCTGGAGCGAGGACGAGGCGACCGTGGAGCACGCGGTCACGGCAACTTTAAATCTCTCGTTGACGTCGTCGTCGCACGCGCCGCTGATTGGCCAGGGCGTCGTTCCCGCGCTCGTCGCGGTGCTCTCGGGCGGCGCCGCCGCGTCGTGCTGCTCGTCGCCCGTCTCGTCGCCGAGCGTCGCAGGGTCCAGAGCGGGGCAGCGCCAGTGGGGGGAGAGTTTCACGGCAGCAGGCGCGGCAGGCGGAAACGAATTGGGTGCGGTGAAACTGGCGGTTTCGCAACAGGCGCAAGAGAACGCAGCAGCAGCGCTGTTTGCGATAACGTCTTCGTCAGATGCGAATAAGTTACTCGTTGGATCGACGCCAGGAGCCATCGCAGGGTTGACGGCGATGCTTTCGCCGCAGCCGTGGTCGCTTCGTGGACGAAAAGACGCGGCTTTGGCTTTGTTTAACTTATCCCTATCGGAGAAAAACCGTGCTTCGCTAATGTCCGCGGGTGTAGTTCCGAAGTTACTTTCCATGTTACAAGAATACGGCTCGGGATTGGAGGAGAAAGCCACGGCGGTTCTCGTGAATATCGCGAAAACGCCCGCGGGTTGCGCGGCAATTCAGGTGGCGGGGGGAATTGCGCCCCTGGTTGAAGCACTAGAAAGCGGATCCGCGCGCGGAAAGGAGGACGCGGTTGCGGCGCTGCTGATGCTGGCAGAAGACGAGAGCCGGCGGGACGAGATTCTCGAGGAGGGGGTGATGCCCACGCTGGTCGCGCTGCAACAGTCCGGCACTCCGCGCTCGCGCGTCAAGGTGAGAATTCTCCTCATCCGCGCTATAAGCTCAGTTTTCTCTTGAGAATATAAAGCCAGAAGAAATATATGGTGCCCTTACGCAGAATGGATGTTTGCCTGACAAGCGGACCAATCTTCCAATATATTACACTTGGTAGCGTCGGTAGCGCTCGGTAGCGCTACCGTTCCGCTAGACGACGCTACCGAGTGAGTCAGCATGCTGACCGCGGGCAGGAAAAAACTAAAACCCATTCGGACTCCATGCCATTCGGGAGCCTCAACCCTAAAATTTTAGGGTTTTCCTCCATGCTAAATGTAAATGCTGCCCACCACACCTAGTCACATCCATTTGCAACTTGCAAGTGCGTGTACTCAGTTACCGTGGACGTGTTCGGGTTCCTGGACTACTGGTCCTGTATAAGGAATAACGACCTGCGAGCAGGTAGGAAAATTTTGTAGTTGGTAATTTTGTCAATGAATCCAGTACCCTTGTCTGAGTCGCTCGTATGCCTGTGAACCCTTCCGTATTTCCTGAACGCCTTTGGTTTCTGCTTGTCCCTGAAATCAGCTGGCAGCAGAGCAGCAACGAGTTGTTGTGGTAATGGGTGGTCTGAGTGTATGCGGGAAGGGTGTGGAACGATATAAGAGAAAAGGGAAACCAGTGGTGGTGGGGAGAATCCAGTGGGTACTTGCTATGGTATACGAGGATTGATGGTGTTCAATGTGAGGAGGGCGTTGTGACACGCGTAGGAGGGAGTCACAGGGCCAGTCTCAAGATATCGCACTTACTGGCGCTGTCTCGAATGAGATGGACCTGGTTTTCAAAATCCAGCACACGGGACGGTTTGAGACCTGTACGCTGGGACATTAGAGCACAGGGAGGAGCATGAGCAGGAGTGCAGGGCAGGGAGGAATGCAGAGGGGAGCACAGGATATCAGTACCATGTCTGCAGCGCTTCCTCACCCTGATTTGGTTGCTGTTGTGATGTTTATTCTTCTTGCCCTGAATGTTCTTGCTGTTTCCTCACCCTTCCCGCCATTGATGATACCAGTTCTTTTCTGCTCCTTTTGTAAGAAGACTTTTCCGGAATGCCCATAGTGGATCCCCAACCCCGTTCCTCCCCTCCACCCACCCCGTTCACCGTGCACGCTCGCTACTCTCATTCAATAAAGGTTCCCATTCAACTAAACACGTTCTCCCCCCCTTCCTCTCCACCCCTCTACTCCATCGCCCCTTCCCCATGTTCTGGCGCATCTGCTTTCAGGCTGCTCGTCTGCTAGCAATCTTCCGGTCCAAGAAATGATTGATTTTTTACATGCTCATGCGGTGCAGTTGAGTGTCACTCTGGCTCAGTGGAGCCCAGAAATGTGTGAATATGTTTTTTGTGCACGAGGTTACAACCAAGACAGGCAGGGATGGCAGAAAACCCCAGTTCGCTTTCCTGAAGGCATGGGAGGTCTATGTACTTAACTGGCCTCTGTTTGTGCATTGAACTGGGTTTTCGTAGTTTGTCTCTGCCAACAGGGCTGTACTAAAAGGTGTAGCAGCCGGATTTACACATTTTGGGACCACTTACAATAAATTATATTACGATCCTTGTGCTTGGATTCTTTCCACGCCACTGGGGCTGCTACATGGCAGGTACGGATTGAGCTAACGCGAACGGATAAGGTTGAGATGGTGGGATGGGAAGTAACTTGCCACTGGATTCCTCCTGTCAGCTTTCCTCCTCCCCTCTCACCTCCTGTCCCTCACATTTTCTGCTCGCCCCCTCCCCTACCACTCATTGCAATGCAAGGCAGCTACATACACCTAGTCCGCGGTATTTTAACCGCCGCTATCTTAACCGCGCGAGAGTACTTCTCCTTGGTCAGACTTGTTTAAACGAGTAGTTAGAAAATTAATGAGGGTATAATCTAACATTCCCTTCGCGAGATAACGGCAGTTAAAACACTGCCAATGCCGATATTCCCCCTATCTCGGAGCACTAAGTGTGCGTTTCTTCAGACGGAAAAGCATCCGGCTGTAAATTAATAGCCTTTAAGTCTTTGGGTGCCCATCTCATTACCCGAAAACGAATAAAGGGTGTTTGAAACAAAACAGTTCACGTGGTTAAAATACCGCGGACTAGGTGTATAAAACCCCGCTAAACTGCCTGCGACATATCTTTGTTTGATCGCGCCGTAGTTATATTTTGGTGGTCGCGGACCCCAGTAATGCGTAGATCGTGTCGCGTCGTAGTCTGGCCAACTGATCCCACCAGCTAGGTCGTCTTACCTCACTAGCTATTTGTCAACCTTGCCAGTTGCTACCCATGTTTTCTTTCTTGCCAACGTGCGCGGTTTTCTCAAACTACCTGTTCCTCGCATAGCCTTCTCAAACTACCTGTTCCTTGCATAAGTATGAATTAGATCAACAGCGTCACAGCACTGATCATTGCTCCCCTTCCCTGATAGTCTAGGGTCGAATGCTCTCACTTGATGCGCGCGTTACCTTGCCGCTGCCACTGAAACGTTGTTGAAACCGCTCAGTTATCTTTGAGCAAAACAAAAGCTGATAAACGGGAAAACATCACTTACAGAAGCACAACACTCAATGGAAACATACTACGGTACCACACCTATTCCTCCGTGGAAACATCATTCAAGGGTAGGAAGACTGGCAAGGCACGTAGTACCGTAGCTTGCCAGCATTCCTACCCTTGATCTCGAAAGCCTGCTGCTCATGCGGCGCCTATACTCAACAGAACCATGTCACCTACTCGCAACCGTTCCGCATGTCACATGCCACATGTTGAAAGGACTAAAGACTCGCCACTGCACCTAGGCGTGGACTCACTCAGCTTGAGTGAATCCTCCTCATTTCCGGAACGATCAATCAGGCAGTCGAAGGAGCGGCGGGCATTTTCACCCCCATCAGCTGCCCACCCCAGGTCACTCCCGACGCGGAACTTCCAGCCAGCACGGCGTATCCGGTCACTGTGCTGTTCACCCCGCCGCTCGGCCCAGCACCTGGGAAACCACCTGAAAGTCCACCTGCAGGCGGCGGCTGCTGCTGGCCCCCCTGCGGCTGCCCTCCCTGCTGCTGTCCCCCCTTGGCGGAGGTCAGCGCGCGGAGGAGCAGCCTCCCCACCCCCAGCCCCATGCGCCTGCTGCCCTGCCCTTTCCCTGCGGCCCCTGCGCCGCTTCCGCTGCCGCAGCGCCCGCCGCCTTGCGGAAGCGTCGCGTTCAGGACGACGGCGAGGAGCGCCTCGACGGTGGCGGCGTCCGCGTTTTCGAGGAACGCGTCGAGGCGCGCTTCCGCGTGCAGCAGCCACCATCCCGCGCGCTGCTGCCAGTCGGACGCGGAGACAGGCAGCGCCAGGGCGGCGGCAGCGGAGGAGACGCAGACGGCGCCCTTCACGATCGCGAGCGAATCGGGAGGGCCGCCGGCGGCGCCGACTAGGAGAGCGTCTACGACGAGATTGTAGTTGCCGGTGGAGTTTCTGCGAGCGACGGAAGGGAAAAGAGTGGGAGGAGGACAGAGATGAGCCAATGACGCGGAGGGAGAGGAGGGGAACAACGACCGTATTCGTTTGAAGCTGGTAGAAACAATCGCAGTTTGTGGCTGTTGTGCGTTGAACAGAAATACACATCAGAACCTTGAGGATTCGGTATTCTGTCATCACAACCCTAAACCCAGGTCCGGTATTCAGCTGGTTTTCAGCCCGCGTTCAGGACCCGCGGCTGAAATCAGACTGAAAAACAGGGCCCTTTTCCGACTGAAACCAAGGCAGTGGCTTGACTGTAATTCACATGTTTTTCAGGCACTTCTTCGGTCCTTTTCAGGGCTTCGAAACCTGCTGGGTTCCGACTGGTTTCTGGGCGGTTTTTGCCTGGTGTAAGGTTTGGCCGCGCTTCGGTATTCTGTACTCATTTTTTACTGTACACCTATATTATATGACATAAATTTGAATAAATTGCCATTTCGTAATAGCAAAACATAAATGTTTATCTGACATTCCCGAATAAAACTAGTTCTTTAGTGTATCGTCAAAATTAATTCCGGGAATACAATATGGATGATAATCGGGGACCACTTGCATTTAACTGGTTATAACAAGCTATTCAACAGTAACAGCAGCAACCTACGATATCATGGCAACTGCTTATACGAAAAGAGGCATACATGGCGTACATGGTACTAATACAACCCCTGGAAAGCTGATAACTAAGCACAAGGACGCGAACACCGATCAATCGTTAGTAATGAACAAAATATAACTAAGCTTGCAGATATGGTGCATAACGTACCTGGTACTGGCGCCGGAAGTAGCATGTCCTGAGCGACACAAACGCGACATGTCGATAAGCACAAGCACTAAGAGCCGCTAAGAACCCCGGCAAGTCAATCTGCAAACAAACATAACAAGGACGTTGTTTCGCCAAGCGTCACAAGCGCGTGAAGGAAAAGGCTTGTAGAGAACGTGATTAGTGCTATGAAACATAGAAAAACAAAACGTCAGAAAGTTATGATAATGGTAACCCGCCGTTGCCATAGCACGTGAAAGGAACAGGTGCTTTGTCGAGTAGTAATAAAGGCGCTGCATGACACAGCGATAGATAACTAGCTATGGTGGCTGAGGAAAGCCTATGAAAAAACACTAACCTGGTAACACGACATGCTATCATACCACTCGCGATCGATAAAGCAAGGAGGAACCGCAAGGGAAGTGTATGACAGGAGATATGTGCAGGGAAGGAGAGCTGAAGTACAAGCAGCGACAGATGTGAGAATGATAGGAAGGAATGATTGAACTAGAAACGAGATGGGTACAAGTAGAGAACACAAAAGTGTTGTACCCTCTAAGAACTACCCCACTACAGCCTAAATAGACTATAGCAGATATAAGTTTGACACACCCCCATAGGCAAAGTGGGGGAGAACAAGAGGTCACAAGACCAGTCAAGAAAGACAAAGCAAGCTCAGGGTGGATCACAAATTCACCACGCAGTCTGAGCACAAGCAAAGGGCCGCAAGGCCAGTTCACATGCAGAGTTATATAAAGGAAATCAAACAATACAGTGAACACAACCTAGTAAATATAAGCATGCAGGTATATGTATATAGAGTACAGTACAAGCAGAGTCGAGAAGTCAACAAGTGAGGCACAGTAGGTACAAGGCCTAACACAGTACAGAAACGCTGATGATCACAAGGCTGAAGTGCCTTGGTGAAAACATCAGCAGTGTTGGCCTGAGAGGCCACGTAAGCAAGACGAAGCTGGCCACGCTGCTGCAACTCTCGAGCAAGGAAGTAGCGCAGAGAAATGTGCTTCGTTCTGTGCTCCAGTCTGTGCTCCTGACACAAGGCAAGCATGGCCTTGTTGTCGACGTACAGAACTGGAGGAGAACGAGGCGCCTCTCCCAAGTCGGTCAGCAGGTAGGTGAGCCAGCGTAGCTCCTATGCAGCCATGGCCCCAGCGTAGATCTCAGCCTCGCAACTGGAGCTGAGAACGGAAGAAGAGCGGGTAGACCGCCAAGAGACAGAACCGGAGCCAAGACTGAAGGTGTAACCCTGTGACGACCGCTGCGTAGCCAAGTCGTCAACCCAGGAAGCGTCTGCGTGACCAGTGAGGACAACTCGAGCCCGTCCTCCAAGCACGAGCCCCATGCCCGACGTACTGCACAAGTAGCGCAACACCCTCTTCGCAGCATCCCAGTGCACCTTTCGGTGCCTGCCGGGAGCCACGTAGCGAGCCAGAAGGCTGAGAGGGTATGCGAGGTTAGGTCGTGTGCAGGTCATCAGGTACATGAGGCAGCCCACAAGCTCTGGATACGGGCCACTCGGCTCTACGGACTCGTCCGAAGGTGGAGCTGAGAGCGAGTGACCGGTAGGCAGAGGAGTGGACTGTGGCGAGGAGTACGTGAAGCCGAAGCGCTGAAGGACCTGCTGCACCATGTGTGACTGAGTCAAGGTAATGGTGCACTGTGCTCTGTCCCGAGTGATCCGCAAGCCAAGATAGCTTGTCAGTTCACCCAGGTCTGTGCACGTGTGTCTCTTCTGCAGCTCGGACTTCACGTGGGCGAGTGCCTCAGTGTCAGCAGTAGCAAAGACGAGGTCGTCTACGTACACAAGAACGTAGAACGGCGGCAGAGTAGTGTCAGTACGTAGAAACAGAGAAGGGTCAGCAGTGGAAGGAGCAAAACCAAGAGAAGCAAGAGTCGTCCTGAGCGTGTCGTGCCACTCACGGGGTGCCTGGCGGAGACCGTAGACTGGCCGGCGGAGGCTCCACTGGGTACCAGTAGGAAACGACCCAGTGAAGCCAGGTGGGCGGCGCAGCCAGATCTCCTCGTGCAGGCTGCCCTGTAGGAAGGCTGTGCTGAAGTCAAGCGAGTGGAGCTCGTAGTCACGCTGAGCAGCAACGTGCAGCAGTACCCGAAGAGTGGTCATCTTCGGGGTAGGGGAGAAGTTCTGAAAGAAGTCAACTCCCTGTCGCTGACTGAAGCCACGTGCAACGTAACGCGCCTTGAAGGCAGGCGGAGAACCCGGCGGCCGCTTCACCCTGAAGATCCACATGCCACTGACGATGTTCGTCCCAGGTGGGGGAACCTCATCTACGTAGGTGCCTGTGGACTTCCAGGAAGCCATCTCTGCATCCATGGCTGCCTACCACTGAGAGGAGTAGGGACCCTCTATCGCCTCTGCGTAAGAGCGCAGAGTCGGGATGTCTAGTGCATCCGGGTCTCCCTCAGGGGTCAGCAGCATGGACACGAGATGAGGTACAGAAGCAGCAAAGCACTCAAACTCCTCCTGTCTGTCCTTAAGAACGTCCGTGCCAAGAGCACACTCACCCCCGACGGACGGAGGACAGACAGACACAGACGCAGACTCAGCAACAAGACTAGTGGCGTAGTCTAGGCGACAGGCGGCAGCAAAGTCAACAAGCTCGGCAACAAGAGCAGACGCAGCAGAGGACTCAGACAGAGGGTCAATGACAGCAGTGGCCAGAAAGCGCATGACAGTAGGACTAGCAGCACGAAGGGAGTCAGACGCAGGGTCAGGACCGTCAGGAAGAGAGGACGCGGGAGGAGACGGCAGAGGGACACGCTGTGGAGCAGTAGAAGGACGCAGAGTCATAGAGTGAGTGCCTGGGATAGGAGGGAGACGCGGACGCGAAACACGACCAGCGCGAACAGTGCGGACAGGCGACGCAGCACGAGACGCAGGCGACACAGGACGAGACTCAGGCTGACGACGCTCCGTAAGGCCTCCAGTCGGTCCAGAGTAGGGACCGGGCAGAGGAGAGGCCGGCTGCAACTGTGACTGGGACCGGACAGGCGGCAGACTCAGGAAAGGAGGAGGACCAGGAGAAGGCGGTGAGCTAAGAACCTGCTGAAAGAGCGGAACGTAGTACGGCCGCGGCCGCGCAGCGCCTCCAGAAACAGCAGAAACAGGACCGGTACCCTCAGCCCCAGGGTCTCCAGTCCCAGCAGCGCCTCCAGCACCTCCAGTAGCTCCAGCAGTAGTAGCACCTCCAGCAGCACCTCCAGCACCACCAGCACCTCCAGAAGCTCCAGCAGCACCTCCTGCACCAGCAGCACCTCCAGCAGCACCAGCACCAGCAGCACCTCCAGAAGCCCCAGCAGCACCTCCAGCACCAGCAGCACCTCTAGCAGCACCAGCAGCACCTCCAGCACCACCAGCACCAGCAGCACCTCCAGAAGCTCCAGTAGGACCTCCAACAGCCCCAGCAGCACCTCCAGCAGCACCAGCAGCACCTCCAGCACTACCAGCACCAGCAGCACCTCCAGAAGCTCCAGCAACACCTCCAGCACCAGCAGCACCTCCAGTAGCACCAGCACCAGTAGCACCTCCAGAAGCCCCAGCAGCACCCCGACAGAGCCGAGAGTACCACTCACGAAGCCGATGTGGAGAGAGAGGCTCCCGCCGCGGCGGGACACCGAGAGCACCTCCAGACGCAGCACGCGCAGGCTCAGCACCCCCAGGCTCAGCACGCCCAGACTCAGCACCCCCAATCTCAGCACCCCCAGTCCCCGCACCCGCAGGCCCAGCACCCCAAGACTCAGCACCTGAGTTGACAGCTACCTCGACCGGCTCGGCAGGGTCTACCTGGGACACACCTGAGGGGGCAGGACCCTGGGGGGGGAGGGGGTCTACCGGGGGAGTACCTGGGGCAAGGAAGAGCGGCGGGGGAGGGGGAGAGGCAGTGCGGTAGGGAAAGAGACGGTAGTACGACACCGACTCGTCAAACGTGACGTCCTGAGAGGACAGAACACGACGCGAGGTGGGGTGGTAGAACTGCCACCCGGGTGCGTCAGGAGGGAAGCCAAGGAAGACACAGGGAACGGCACGGGAGGACAGCTTGTCCGCAGTAGTATCGCGGACAAAAGCTCGAGATCCCCAGACACGGAACGCGGACGCATCGCCAACCTTCCCCGTCCACCGCAGAGTAGGTGTGGTCTCCTGCAAGGAGACACGAGGCTGAAGGTTGATCTGATGCGCTGCGTACTGAACCGCGAACGGCCAAAGAAAATGGGGAGCAGCTGCATGGATCATGGACGTACGAGCGACGTCCATGACCATGCCAATGCGGCGCTCAGCAATCCCATTTTGCTGCGGGGAGGCCGGAAGCGTGAACGTCTGGCGGATGCCCTCAGAACGACAGAAGGCTCTCAGAAGGTCGGAGGAAAACTCCTCGCCTCTGTCTGAGTGCAGACGCAGAACAGGAAGGTCTGAGCCGAAACTCTCACTAAGCTGGCGACGAGCACCGCGGATCCAGTCGATCAACACCTCAAGGACCTCACCCTCGCTGCGCAAGGGGAAGACTGTGGTGTAACGCGAGTAGTCGTCAACGACCAGCAGGAAGTAACGCTCGTGACCCTGTCCACGGACGTGGGCTGGGCCCCACACGTCCATGTGAAGAGTCTGCAGAGGAGCCTCGGTCGGAGGGAACGAGGAGGAGTGAGGGGCGGCGCGCTGCCGGCCCTCGACACAAGGAACACAGGTGGGGGCAGGCCCCGGAGGAAGGGGAGGGAGGGACCTGGGGAGACCAGAGACAAGGGCATGGGAGGCCATACCTCGAAGACGAGGCAGGGAGGGGTGACCAAGGCGGTGGTGCCAAAGGAGAGTCTCGTGCGACAGAGGACGACACGAGCAGGGGGCAGACGCAGGACTAGACCTGGACGCGGCAGCAAACACCTGACTAGACGCAGCTACCTGACCAGACGCAAAGACCGGAGGAGGCGCAGTAGTCAGTGTGTACAGACTCGACCCTGGCCGACGGGTGAACGTGGCCAGGTGGCGACCCGTCCGAGAGCAAGTGCAGTGGGTGACACGCTG